CCGCAGGGGACACTGGGAAGCTGGCGCGAATCGCACGGCGCGTGCTGGGACCGCTGGTGGAGAGCGGGGGTGCCCGCGGGAGCGGGAGCTCCTCACAGACATGGCGGGGAAGGGAGGTCTCTACGGCTGCCAAGACCCCGCGTGCTGGAGACGAGTGCGCGACCTGCACTGGGCGGTGGTCGAAGCCAAGGGGAGCGAGCGGAAAGGCCTCACCGGGCTGGAGAAATGGTAAATGCGGCGGCGTCCGCGTAGCTGCTCGTCCCGCCCGAAGCTCGGGCTACCCGCAGCTGTCGCCAGTGCGGAGCCCCAGGCTCTGGTGCCCCGGTGACACGAGGGGCCGCAGGGGGTCGGGTGCAGGCGGCGGCGGCGCGAGTCCTGCCCGCTCTGGGCTCTGTTTCAGGTATCAGGAGGAGTTGCCGGTTGCTCTCGCGGGACGGAAAGAGAAGCATTTGACCCAGGCCGAAGTGGTGAAGCTGATGCAGTGGAAACTCACCGTGAGTCACTTCCCAGCTGAATGGCCACGCGCAGCGTCTCAGCCCTATAATGGGAGTGGATGCTCGGCTGGGACGGGGGTCTCGGCCCCCCACGGGCTGTGACATCACTTCCAGGTGCTGGGAGATCCGACGTCTGCAGGGTGTTGAGGCTCGGAGCACGTGGGCGCCAGCTGTCTGACAGCTGTTTAAGTTGGTAACTGTTGTGCTTACCTTTCTAAGGTTGAAACAGAAATCATGGGCCATAGCCTCTGGCCCAGGGCAGGGGTAGAGAAGCAGTTTTATGTCATCTTTGTGGCTTGTTAATCAATTAATCAGTCTGGACCCTGGTTCAACCTGCAACAACCTTGGGGTTGCTCTAAGTTGCATTCAGCTGCAGACAGGCTGTGGTAAGTCGGGCCTGAGGGGTCAGTAGCCTCATCTCTAGAAATGTCACGTTTCTTTTTGATCCTGTCTCCATGTAAACATCTTTGCTAGCAGAACAAATTTAGTTAGGAGCTCTGTCCTTAGCTCACCTTGTTATCGCCCAGCTTACGCGACTGAAGCCTGAATGCAGATACAGTCATGCTGGCAAAGCAGCGTATTTCTGGGATAGTCTGTTCCACTTGGGGAACTGGTGTGAGCTGTCCTAACACAACAGTTTAAAGGATCCAATGACTGCATCTCCAGTAGGGGATTTAGCAGTCCAGCCATGCCAGTCATGTTATAGCAGCAAACCAGTTTGAGTGTAGATAAATCCTAACCTTTTGCATTTCACACAGCTTGGTCAGTTTCCTCCCACTAGCTCCACAGGCCTGTGATTGGATTTCCAGGGGAATTATTATTAACTTGTTTTTACACAGCGTTAGTACTGCCCACAGCTCTTTGAGCGCACAGAGAGATTATCTGCATCAGTGAGCTTATAATTGAATTATTTTCATTGGCTCTGAATCCACTGGAATGGAGCGGTTGGTCCAATTATAGCTGGGCAGGGTGAAAGCAGGAGGCTGGCTTAGTCACTAAGAATATTTGGGAGAAAGGAGAAGGTAGATGAAACTGCACTGAGATAGGAGTGTCGTGGTAATAGGATAGAGCCGTGAAGGCAAGGCTGTTGTCTACTTGGGAAAACGAGGAAAGGAAGGTAAAGTCCCAGAGGAGATGCAGAGTAAGGGGGTGGTGTAGTAGCTGGAAAAGATACACGAGAGTTGTGAACAAGTAAACTTTCCTCCAGGCACACTGTGCTCAGCCTCAAACCACTTTGCATTTTCCAAATTGGTTACCCAACTTCCTATTCCTTAGGACAGGGGTGTCAAAGACCCAGGCCGCAGACCAGGTCTGGCCCTCGGACCTGTCACCCAGCCCACAAGGCTCCTAGAGAGGTTGGGGTGAGTGGGGGCTGGGCCCATTGCTGAATACCAGGGCACAGAGCCTTATTGCCAGTTCAGTGGCAGCAGGGCAAGCAAAGACTGTGTTATTCCTCTCGGCTCCTTGAGCCAACACAAACACCCAGGAAACCACAGCAGTTCACACCACTGCCACTTCCCCTGTTGCCAGAGGTGGGTCTGGATCTAGCCCACGAGGAGCTCTGTGGTCTGGATGTGGCTTTAGGACGAGCCCAGGGGAGTTGGACAGTATTGCTTTAGGCAAAGACCTCTTGGGCTATCTTCTCTCTGACCTCAGAGTCTCATCTTTAGGGCGTGGTGGATCCCAGGGGGCATGTAGAGCATAGTCTGGGGACTACAGTTGAACAGAAATGTATACCAAGAAAGAATCGCTCTGTTTTTTTCAAAGGGTTGGCAAAGAACTCACGGCCTCAGAGTTGGATCCCCTCTAATAAGAGTATTGCCCCTTTCAGCCCCTGGGGTCACAAGCAATGAGCTGTAGTCACCTGCACAGCTCAAGTCTCCAGTTGAGGGGGGCTCACCTTGCTGCCTTCTCTCCTCCCCTCTAGCGGGGAAAGTTCCGTCCTCGTCTGCAGCAGCTGGTGGCCACTAACTCCCAGGAGACAGTGGAGCGCTGTACAAGGAAAGCTTTTCAACTCCTCCCAGATGTGGCAGCTGCCATAACTGAGCTGAGCCAGTTAAAGGCTGTAGGACCAGCCACGGCTTCAGGTAAGGACTAAGGGAATTCAGTGGGGGATGGGGAAGAGATAAGGGGGTGGAGCCATGGATTGACCAAACTGGAAGTGAAAGAACAGCCAGGGTTGGTCAGCACTTTCACCCAAACAGCCATGCACTGCTACTTGCATAATGGGATGCAAGATGCTGACACTCATGGCTCCTGGGAAACAGCGGTGGCCCTAGATCCCAGCCCTGTGGACAAGGGGGAAGCCACTGGTTCTTCCTAGTCTTGCAGGCAGCCAAACTAGTTGCTAGTGGCCTGTTAAAACCAAAACCTTGAAGAGGTCCTTAGCACTGAGGGCAGCAGAAAGTACAGGTCGAGGGCATGGAAACCTGCATGAGAAGCTGCCAGCTGGGATGGTTGAGTCGCTGGCTTGGTGTATTTCCTACTGTGATGAGCTGGTGGAGAGGCACCTATCTGTGTGGAAGCAGAGGTAATTTCAGCTGCCCAAGGGCAAGCCTCCCCTTGAATCCTGCACTGGTCCAGCCCCATCTCTCCTGGGAGTGTTGGTGTGCACAAGTCCTCTTGGCTTGGCTTCAGGTTCTGTGATGTGCCAGCTTGCCCTGGCAGGCTCTGACAGGCATCCAAGAGCCAGCCTCAAGGCCCTAAGAAAGTGGACATCTGCTGTGATGAAGGATTTGGTGTCTCCTGCTATCCCCCACCCCCTCCAACCTGTCCAGTTCCTCTGCTGCATACTTCCCCACCTTCCCATTTCAGCAATCCTGGCAGCAGGAGCCCCTGAGGTTGTGGCTTTCATGGCAGATGAAGCAGTGGAGTCCATCCCAGGCCTCACCCCCATTAAGTATTCCCTCAAGCATTACATCCGCTACCTGGACAGGATCCAGCTCTGTACCAAGAAACTAAATGAAGGTGAGGGGTGGGGGCCACACTGCAGTAGGGCCTGTGGAGGGAGGGGGAAGATATTTGCTGCATCTCTGTTTTAAAGGTCTTGTCTTGAAAAGCCAGTAGAACTGCAGCGCTTATGGCAAGGTTGTTGTTGCACTACTGGACAAAGTAGTTCATACCCAGAGCTGGGGGTCAGGTTTCCTCCTCATCTCTGTTGCTGCTTTTGTGGCATTGGACAAGTCTCTTGGTCTCTGCTTCACCTTCCCTATCCATGCTATGAAGATAACACTCCCCTGCCACCGCACGCTCCATTGAGATCCTCCAGTGAAAATTTATTTAAGTGCCAAATTGTGACCTGAAGTTTCTGTGTCCAGTAACTGAGACAGGCAGTGCCTTGCAGTTGCATCAAGTAGATTTCCTTGGTTTCTTACACATGCATCTTGCAGGCACGGTAGGTCCCTGCTCATCAGAGCCTGAATCGCACCAGCTGCTGTGCGATCTCTCTCTTCACCTTTCCTTGTGTCTGCTCCACTAGCTTGCAGAATCTCTTGCTTGAATCTATGGTAGCTTCTGCCATAGTTACCTGTATCACCAGGTGTTGTGTGTAGGGGAGAGGTTTTACCTTTTAAGCCTTTCCTACCCTTCAGAACAGGGCTGGGAGCAGCAGCTGGGGAGAAGGGGGCTGCAGGCCCATGTTTTTGCTATGCACAACCATGTAGCAACAACAGCTTTTGATCTTTCCCTCCCTGCAATCTGCTGTGACCAGGCATTTGGAGCAGGAGGGAGGTACGTTCCAGAGCTGCGTGGGAGCTTGGGAAGAGAGGGAGTAATTCTGGCCTGCAGAGTTGCACGGAGGGAATGTGTGTGTGGTTTTATTCTGTACTCTCAACCTCTCACTTTTCTGGGCCACAAGTCTCCCCAGGAACTCATCAGGGGCCTGGAGAGTGGGTAGATCTGGTTCTGCTGCAGCCATAGAGCTTAATGGCTCAATTTGCAATCTTTTCCAGTTGACACAGAGAAAGGCTGGACTCCTCACCAGGTGGAGATGTGTCTCTGGGCCTGGGCTGTGGCACAGAAGTTGTGTCCTGTGCTGCTGCAGACACTTTGCTTAGGGGAAGAAGAGGCTGGTGAGGATGCCAGAGCCACAAAGAAACAAAAAACCAAATGAAATCATCCCAGGCAGAGACCCAACAAGCATCTACACGTTTGCCTCCTGTAGGCTGATCTACAGCCCGACCACAGCCTATGGTGGACTCCTTGGGGATTCAAGTGTTGCCCTGGTTCTGGTGCCTTGGGTGAGGGGGAGGGAGACGTTAAGTGAATCCCTCCCCATTCTGTAGCCCAAGCTGCAGAAACCTGTGTTCAAGACCCTATCTTCTCTAGGCACTGGCTTTGTGAGTGTCCTGCTTCTTTCAATGATTTTTTAATAAAACTTTGATAGACTTTTGTAGAACCATGTGGTGAGTGCTTGCTCCTTTTCACTGGGATGCAGGTATGTTGGGGAGTCTCCTCCTAAACACCTAGATCTAGGTTGCCATCCTGGCTCTCATTTTAGCTTCCTCTACCATTTGCTTCCTCATGGTGCAGACAATCTTGTTAACTGGAGAGTCTGCAAGAACTGGATCCCCAGAATTCTGACCAGAATACTTACAACATTTAAAGAGCTGATAACGTGCTTGGCCCTGAACAAAAGCCAGCAGGCAATAAAGTCTGAAAAGTTGTCTGGCACAGGATTTAGAAGACAGGCAAGATGCACTGGGACATTCATAGAGGAAGTTCCTTGGGTCATTTCCCCCCTCCTATCCTTTCCCAACAAGTTTTTCCCTATGTGCAAAGCAAACAGGCAAATAGTGCTGGGAAAGCATGCAACCCAAGACTAGTATTAGATCATAGTAGAAATCACATCATCCTCTGGACCCCTGCAGAATTACACTGGTATACAAGGCTTGGATTGACCTACACAACCCTCACAGGAGGGTGGCAAGTTATTCCCATTTTACAGACAGGAAAACAGGCACAGGGTTGCAGCACAGGAAGTCCTGTCTTCTGACTCCTATTTCCTAGTGTCTTCTAGTAGAATCTAGAACTTACTCTTAAGAGGTTGTGCTGCCAGAATCCACAGAACTGGCACTACACAGCCACCTATTTATTCAGGACAGATGGTGCTGGCTTCTCAGCTGTGTAGGGGAAAGGGAAGGGAGATGACTGGGAAAGGGCTATTGTGAGTGTTGAGCTGCTCTGCCAGCAAGAGCAAAAGGTAAAGTTAGGAAATGGAAGCTGTGCAGAAAGCAAAGCAAAGTATCAAAATGTTCTGCGAGTGAGACCGGAGCTCCTGACACTGCAGCCTTGAACAAAAGAGCCATTGCCCTTGAATTCATCTTCAGCTGCCATGGTCCCATGGCTGATGTGTGTGTGGCTCAGAACTCTTCATGTCTCTGGAGACAACCTGCCTTCAGTGCCTGTTTCTCGTGATTTGCTTGAGAGAGCTTGCTGTAACCGTGGGAATTTGCCCTCTGACTTGGTTAGTGCTGCCTTGAGTTTTCTACTCTAGCCATATTTCCATTGGCTGGTTTCCACATTGCCTCTCCCCAGCTCCTTTTCAGTCAACCCAAGTGGCTTGGGATCATTTTCCCTCGGATGTGAAGTAATTGGCTGTGTATCTGCCAGTCACTTTAAAGCCAGTTGCAAACTCCATTGGCATGATGCTTAACCCAAGATGTGTGTTACGGACAACGACATTCAGAAGAGCCTGAGTGTGTCTTGCAAACTACACAGAGTGGAGGCATGTTCCAGATCCAGGGCCCAGTGCCCACCCCCTCAAGTCTGAGCTAATTCATTAGCCAAAGCTAAACTTCCTTTCTCTTGCACCCACCCCAAATTAGCCTGCAGAGCAGAGTAGGAGGCTGATAGGCGTGAGACAACAAGCATAATCCTGTCATGCCCTGCAGGAATCCTTCCTGCTCCCACTCTCCCCCAGTCATTTCTCTCATGTTTTATACCACCTGCAACATCTGAAGTCCCATCCCAAGGACAATTTTTTCCACAAGCCAAACTTCTGCACCCAAGCCTGCCCACAACAATATGTATCTCTCTGTCACTCACATGTCAGCAGGTCCTACCATCCTGGTGGTCCCCTGGACTCTGTGGCAGATATTTAAGTTAGGCTCTTGCTACAGCCAAGACCTTAGGAGGCCCTCAAGACAAGTGTATGCCTTCTGGCAACTCTGCACATCATTCACACCAATATGGCCCCCCTGCTCAGCCACTGGCAGGCTCAAAGGAGTTGTAGGCCACCTTCCACATTACCCCTGCGTTTGACCCAGCCACATCCAAAGCTACGATTGAGCGGCATGAGCCACCCAAACTGAACAGCAAACCCATGGTGCCAGGCACCTATAGAGCAGTTTGCTTTTTGTGGTAACCAGGAAATTACCTCCTCAAGGTATTGGTGTTATTTAGGGCTTCCTGTGTGTGGCTGTTTATTTCCCTGTTTATCTTTCTCTTACTCATCTGCCAAGATGGTGCGGGGGAAGTGCCTAGAATAGTAATTCAGGATGAGACTGCAACCTTGACTTGTGGTGGAGTAATGGAGCTGCTGAGGTGAATTGCTCACCAGCCTGAGAATGGGTTACACCATCTCCTCCTCCTCGTCCCCTCCTGCACGGAGGGATGCTCACCGATCCCTCAGAGGGACCAATCCAACCTCAAATGAATGGTGATTCCTTTGCACTGCAGCACCAGTTACACAGTATGTGAGGCTTAGGATCTCGAGGTCCTGGTGGAATGGGTCTATAGATTTAGATTTAGACGTCCAGAGAATCAGGACTGTTTTCTACCAGCTGAGGACTGTGTCATGGTGCTGGTGCTACATGGAGATGCTGAGCACTCTCAAGCATCCTTTTTCAATTGAGTTTAAATCTCATTTTCTACCAATTTACACTTCATTTAGTAAAAATAAATGACATTTAAATTTTGCTTAAGACCCTCGGACACAAAGAATTATATCTACCTGCAAACCTGTACTGAGGCAGTAAAACATGAATTAGAGGCATTTTTAAGTTTTAGTACAAGGATGAGCCCAGAGCAGTGGACCAGAACAGAGAAAACAGATGCTGAATCCTTCAAAGAGCCGTTTTTTCCTAAGGGCTTTGGTTAAATAGAAGTTCAAACAACTTGGCACTGCCTGTTCCCACAATGGTTGATCTTTTGCTCAAAGCTCCAGCTCCTGATGATTCAAGGAGCTCAACTTCCATTTAAATGAAAAACAAGCAAGCTTCTGTTCTTTGTGGCTGCAGAGTAAAAGGCAAAACCACAAACCTTCCAGGCTTAGAAAGCAGCAGGTGAATAAAAAGATACCAGGACCTGCTATTTTTAAAGCTTCATGATTGTTAAAGTTCTCATGATTTGGGATCCCTTGGGGTTGACAAAATGCCATGAATGGAAAGCGGAACACCTAAAATCAAAGCAGCTTGGCTTTGCTGAGGTGCTGTGCAGTCATGATTCCCCAGGAAGAAATGGGAAGGGCAGCTATTGGAAGATTAGGCCATTCTGAATTAGGTTCATAAGGAGGAATTTGTAGGGGTAAGGAAGAGGGGAGAAAAACAACAACACTGAGGCAAATGGCAGCAAGAGCTCCATCTCTGTGCCTTCAGAAATCTCATATACCTGGCAGCTTAACTTGCAACACCTACACTTAAAAAATTCTAGCTGGAGACTTTTACACAATCTGAATAACCCCCCCACTTCCTTTCTCACTAGGGTTTGATCTCTCCAGTATCCTCAACTGATTAGTTCTTTAGCCATCCAGATGAACTCTCCTCTCCCACAGAAGACTACAGCATAGCAAATTTATAATTTCCCAATGTATAGAATCTAATTCGTGAGAGGAGTGGGGTTATCTTGAAGTCCAAATCAACTTGTATTTAGGTAAATATGATAAATTATCATCCAAAAAAAATACAAAGGTTCAAAAAGAAACCCTGTCTGGGTTTTTGCACATCTGAATTAGACACAGAGCACACTATTTTTCCACCTTTGGAGACCAGATGAAAATGCAGCAACTTTGTCTAGATGAGCAGGACTTGTTTTATCCATTCCCTCCTATTCTGTATCTCTTCTGCTCACTTCTTCCCTCAGGGCTACGGCATTCCATTATTTAATAAAAAAAAAATCACCTAGTCTTGCCTGAGAGCTTCACTTCTTTAATTATCCTGTGTCACTTAGCAGTTAGACACGGTCTTCCAGCATGCTGGGGATTTGCTATAGCCAACGGAGACTGCAAGAAAGTGCAAATGAAAGATTCCTGCCCTGATTCTTCAAGAGTTTGGAGCACAAGGTCCTGTGGTTTCTGAAGGACTGCAGTGAACCAGACACAGGTTGAGCAATTAACACCGCATTCCTCTGGCCAGGTCTACACAAGTGTCTGAAATGCATCCCACTGGCCAGCAGCAGAGCAGTTCCACTGGTGCCAGCAGTGATGGATGCCATATTGTAGACTGAGCTCAAAGCACCACAACTGTTAAGCATCCAGTCCCTTAACCCAGGGCAAGGCACTGTAAGCTTTGAGCATGCAATGCAGATTGAAAGTGTAGCAGGACAACACACAAGCTCATCTCATGGGGATAGCTGATAAGCTAGGCACTGAAAGAGGGAGAATGCCTGAGCTGAAATTGCTATTAAAATATTAATAGGCTTTTATTTCTGAAAAAGACTCAAGGAGGAAAGGGAGAGAGGAAAGAGCGCAAACACTGAAGTTCTTATCTTTTGGGAAGATGCCAAGCAAACATGTAGGAGGAATTTCTCCAGTGTATTCCCCAAGTCTTTGTAGACGAGCAAAAGAATGCTGTTACCTACATCTCCAAAGGCTAAAGGGAGAACAGGTCTCTCAGTCTGGGAAGAGTGGGGGAGGGAATCATAAACCATTAACATTGTTACTGCCTAAAGGAGATGGCAGCATCATGCATGTCAATCAAGGTTTGGAGCACCTAAATCAAAGTAACCCTGATCTCTAGCAGACAGACACAAGCCAAAAGGAGAACCAGTTGCAAAGGAAGCTGTTTGAATAGTCTGTCTCACTTAATGGGTTGGTAGCAATAGAGCAGCGCCCAGATCCAAGCCATTTCACCCTGATTAGTCAATAGATTGCAATTCAAATATGCAGCCTAACAAGCTAGCCCAGCAACCAGACTGGGGCTGGCAACCATTTATTCTGTTTGCCTTGTTCTGATATGACAGGTAGGCAGGCTGTCATATCTTTCAGCACACAGTTATTGGAGTTTTTAGATCCAAACAGTCTCCCACATACTTGCAGAGGGGGCAGCCATCTCACATCCCTGTAGCATGTTTTCTTTTCTAATACCTGGCACCTGGCTCTTTGTAACTAGAGAGAGAGGAAGGGGAGTGCAGCAGTTGCCTGTCGATCAAAAGCCAGAGTTCCAGTAGTCAATACTGCCAGACTCCCTGTGTGAGGGAGC